TCAACCACGACCACGATTGTTGGTGAAAGGTTGAGAGGCGGCTGAAGTAGGAAGGGATTCAGTTGAAGAAGTCGCAACTAACGCAGGAGTTGCCGCGAGAGGAGTAGTCGGGATGTTATTCTGTAGTTGGACTTCATGCAAGAAAAGCATAGAGCGAGCTTCAACAAAATTAGGCAACGGGACTTTGTGACTAATCATGGTCGAGACAGATTGATATTCAGAAGGAAGGCCAACAAGAATTTGAAGGACCAAGTCAGTTTCCAAGACTGGAGAACCAACCGTCGTTAAAGAATCAGTAAAAGATTTAAGTTTGGTGACATAATCATTAATGGATAAGTCACCCTTCTTTAAACTATGGAATTGGAGTTTCAATTGAAGAAGACGAGAGCCAAGTTGATCATGAAAAAGTTGTTGAATAGTTAACCATGCTTCTCAAGCAGTAAGATTAGAATTTGGTTTAACTATAGCTTGCAAGATTTTGGTTGAGACTGTGGCTTGAATCCTAGAGAGAACGATGGAATCAATCTAAGTCCATGTTTGAAAAACAGGATTTAGGACAGAAGCGGAAGAACCATCCGCAGCGGGAAGAGTCGACGGCGGACAGAGAGAGGTACCATCAATGTGATCCATGACACCATGGCCGCGAAAAACCGGAAGAAAGGGTTCCTTCTAGAGCATATAGTTGGTGAAATCTAGGACATGAATAACATAATTTTTGATGTTGGAGAGGCCAATGTCCGGATGAGACAGCGGAAGAGGTGTTGGAAGAAGGGGGGTTCGGCGGCTGGTTTTGGGTAGCATGGACACCGGTGGTTGTGGAGTCTTCAGACCGAGCCATAAAGGAGGAAGGGGGTGGTTGCACTTCAGATCGGTGGTTTTGTAATCTGGCCAACGAAGGGAGATATTGGAGAAGTGGGTTTTGTTTGATATTGTTGACGGTGGCGGCGTCGACGGGAAAGGAGAAAGAAGAGCCGGCTGGGCAAGGAGAAGTGAGTTCTGTTGTTCTGTTTGTGCGTGGATGATGGATTTTTTTTTTTTTATATTTGGTTGTGAGACCTGGATGTTGGATGATGTAGCGGGGCTAGGGGATTAAGGGGATTGATACGTGAAGTGGCAGATGATAGATAATGAATAGGACGCAGAAGGAGCAAGAAGAAAAAGACACCGGGAAGGAGAAGATGTGTAAGACGACGGTTATTATTTTGAGGGAGACAGCGGCGGCGGAAGACAGTAAACAAAGAAGAGAAGTTGGCGGCCCAGGAAAGAAGGTGTGATACCATATAAGAATTATATTTCTATGTGTATTACCAGTTGTACATTGAGATACATATATATATACAAGGATACATAAAACCCTAACCGACTATTCCGAAAACCCTAATTCGGTTTCCTTAAATACATACTCTATCACTCAATAACGATATGGTTTATCCTGTTTTAACAAGCATATATAACAAATTATACATCTTTCATATTGTCAATAGTAGATAGATGTTACTTACATTGCTTCATGAGTCATTTCTCCAAAAAACTCAAATCATACAAGTAAAACTTGTCCTGTTCTGAATTGTTAGCATTGACTATAGTCCATGTTGTCTATATTACCCATGGAAATGAGAAAATCCAACGAATTTTTTTGCTAAGGTTTGTTTAGCAGCTTGTTGTGGAAGGAGAGATGGCTAAAACTTATTGAATGTCAGATGTACTAGCACAAGTGCTTGTCAGAAGCCATCGTCCTCAAGGCATTTGTAACTAAATTAATTTTAATGCTTGAAATTTTTGTTTAACACTTCCTCCGTTCCAAAATTATTGTCCAATTTGGATTCACACTCTTTTTACAATTAAACTAAACATGAAATTCGAAACTGGACAATAATTGTCGAAGAAAGGATACATAAAAAGGGATTACTCTTTCCGGCGTTAAACATTGCACTATATGATTTAAAAAAAAAGAATTAACTTTAAAATTAAAGTGGTTGTGGAAAACAAAAATTACTATCTGGTTTTCAATAAAAATTAAACTTTAATATTAAATTAGCCTCCCAATTTTTTTCTCATATGGGAAAAAAATTTTAATTTGGTTCTGTCAATAATAGTTTCTCAACCTTTGAAAAAGATCTCCCCCTCCAAAAAAAGGGGAAAAAACTTTTATGCTGCTTCTCTAAATTATTAAGAACCTTGAAAGGAACGCTTCTTAGTTCTTAGGCAACAACGGTTACCTAGATTTGGTTGATTTCTTGGACAATTATGTCAAACATTTTGGGTAGAAAATAAACTCTAATCAATTTCATGGTTGACTTTTGACATGTGTAAAATTAAAGTAAACCACTCTTGAATTTATTTTATTTTTCCACGAAGAAACTTGAAACTGCTCACTAGTGTCACAATTAATTCTCCTCCAATCCAAATTATTGTAATTTATTGGTCAATTCCTTTTCAACCTTTCTTGATTGGTCGATCGTCACATCCAATGAATCAGTAAAAGATTTATGCATGTTTTTGTAATAATTTAATTAAGTGATTTATTTTCAATGCAAGGGGGAAAATTTCATTGCTGCAAAAAATTAATAAACAGTTGATATTCTGAATAAAAATATAGTAATTACCATTAATTATGAAATTAATAAGCCAGGTAACTAATTACAGACCAAAATAAAAAAAAAAATTGCTTCAGATTAATGGCTTATTATCAAATTTAGTGAGATTCCAAGATAAGATTAATTACTCTAAGATATTCAATTTTTTCTTTTTTCTTTTTGTTTTTTATTTGTACCCAACGGATATAACAATTCTTTTGTTAATACTCTCATTTGTTTCCCCAATTTCCTCCAACTTTAACGTTAATTTCAGCCAAAGATCAAGACCCATTCCTTGAGGTTGATCGGCGACAGATCGAGTTTACAAAGCAGCCAATTGGTTGGATGCGTGATTTTCAGCTGTTCACAAAGTTTTCTTTCCAGAAGAAAAATTAATTGCTTTCTTCTGCTTTCAGGTAAACCAGATTTAGTTATTTCCAACCATCTAGTTATTTCCAACCATCATTTCATGCTCAGATTTCTTGTAATGCTGATTATTTCAGCTAAAATTTCATATAAGGGAAATCTTATTTCAACGGGTTTTGAGTGCTTGTTATAGTTTTCTGATACCCTTTGGTTGTAAATCTGTGGTTTTCTTTTCCTTTTTTTTTTTTTTTTTTGATTGTCATTTGCGAAACTGATAAAATTTAAGAATGCATTTCCTCATGACCATGATTGATAGATTTACATACCATCGCTCCGATTCACCTCTGATTTTCTCAAGTCAAATATAAGAATGATAAATCTCATAGGTGAATTTCATGACAAAACTTGAATAAATGGAATAAAAGATAAAAGAACATTATTAAGATGCCTAATTGATTTGAAGAGTCCGTAGATTTAGGAGATAAAAGAACATTATTAAGAATGCTAAATCTATTGTTTTTAGACCATTGGGATACCTTCATTCTATTCTACTCAACTATCGTACGTCATTTTGCTTCATCTAGAACTCATTTGTCTTCTTTTATCCTTTTTCATTTTTTTGTTCATGAGGGCAATGCAATCTATTAAATCTTTATGTTGATTTAGAAAAGACGTTTTTTCAATTGAAATATTTGAATGCCCGAAGTGTTAAACCTCAAAGAATTATGTGATGAAAGTGTAATAAGACACTAGACCGAGTTTATGAGTTAGGGAGAAAGCGATCAATAATAATGGATTTGCAAGAAAATTTAATGTAATTAGCCATTAAATAAATTAAAGCAAAGGAAACATTACGCAAACAGTTAATCCATTGGGCAACTATAGATCTAAGTACGTAGGACATGTAAAGTCAAAAATCATTGTAATATGTTTGCAGCGAAAGAACTACTCCCTCTGTCCCAAAATTATTGTCCAATTTGATTTTTCATTTTTAGTTCAAATTATACTAAATGTGAAATTTCAAACTGGACAATAATTTTTGGATGGAGGGAGTATCAGTTAGGGTTTACTGGGGAGATCGTTGTAGATGGAAGCGAGGATATTCAACAGTTGAAATTCATAGTAGTAATGATTTAAATTAGGTAGATTTTGAATGTATGATGAAAATTTTTGTGTATGACCTAATTCATAACCTTTAAATACGTAGATGCTCATATATTTATTGAGAGAGACCTTGGAAAGATTTCTCAAAGATTATTGATACGTCTAAGTTGTATCTAATGCATTTTCAGAAAGTCAGAAGATTTCGTAGAGCAAATAGGAAAATTGTATTTTATAGAGAAAGTTTCCTTCGACACTAGACCGCAATAGATTTTACAATCACGTCCTAAATTGCTTTTTTTTTTTAATACTACAAAAAGTTAAAGTGCATATGATGAAGCATAGGAGATCAATTTCTTTTTCCCAGTGATTAATTTGAATTGAAGTTGAGATTCCAAATCAGCGTGTTTATGCAGAATGAAAAATAGTTTTAGGTTCGAAAATCTTTGTAGTACTTAATGTTTATAATAGGCGATTAATTAATACAATAGTTTAGTAACGAGCAAACATTTCCATGTATTTTAACATTTTGATGTATCCATGTATGACTTTCCCGCTGTTATTAGGGCTTGGTTCTCTACTTCCCCCATGTTATTATAGCTTGGTACCCTAATTTTAACATTTTATTCTCTTTTCCCCCTTTTTTCGTACTCTATTTCTCGGTGTTGTTACGGCTTGAGTTCAAGGTTAGATTTAGCGGATTTCTCATGTCTAGCATATATCATATGCCATCCTACAAATTTAGGGTAAATCTTCTAAGAACTCCTAATCTAGTCGTAGAGTTCTTAGTGCATTTTTAAGAGATCCAGACTAAAATGGCTATATGTGTGTGATTAAAATTATTATTTCAATAGTTAATCTCAGCGGATTTCAATAATTAATCTCATTATTTTTTGTTTTTTCGTATCATTAATTTCTTCTTGGATATTGTTCTCATTTTTAAGATTCATCGAGGGAAATGGCTCCAAGAAAAGCCCCAAAGCGATCAAATATGGAGGTAAGCAAGGCAGAGAAGAAGCCTGCTGAATTTTTCAAAGTATTCAATCCTGAGACAAGCAGTGATAAACTTGTAAGTGTGTTTTTCATCTTCTCTCTTCTGATGATTTTCTTTATCATTACAAAAAGAAAACATTTTTCTTAGAATTCTTATATCTAGCTTATGCAATCGTTTATGAATTATCGTCACAAAAGTAATTGCACTTGAAGAATAAAATATGTAATTACATATTTTACATAAGCTCTAAAAGTATACACATTTTTGGGTAACTCTGATACACTACCATTATTTTGGTTTCTTATAAATAAAATTCAGGAATCAGGATGCTTGCTATGTAATCTATGTCCTAGTTAATGTATAACAAAATGCATTTAGGGGAAGTTAGCCCTTTCTCGAATGAAAAGCATGATTGGAAATCAGTTCTGTCAGCTGGAAAACATGACATAAATCAATCAAAAGTGTTTTTTTTTTTTTTTACCTTTTGAAAAAGGTTATCATTAATTGCTTGGAAATTATCTATTATGATAAGAGGTGCATTTTTCAATTGGGTTATAGAGTCCAGATACGTTTCAAAGGCATGCTTAGATTTCGCATGTTGAGCTACAAAATAACAAAACACGTTAGAATCTCTCTCTCTCGCGCGCACACACACACACGCACATATACACTCTCTCTGTCTCTTTTGGTTAATAAAAGACACTGAAACTTTAATTAACCCAACTACAGTTGAAACTGATTATGTCTTCAAAATTAGCCTTGGCAATAGAGAGTATCAAGATCTTATCAAAAAAGTCATTTTCTTGTGATTATAGGTTGTGGACAGGTGATGGCGATCACCGACTAGAGAGAGTTATACCTTTGGACAGAGCCAAAGAAATTACTTCATGAGCTGCAATACTCTCTATCACCTTAGGATTGAGATTCCCAATAGAACTCTTAGCTTCAATGCTCTAAATCAAAAGTTAATTACATTCTCTTTTGAGATGCTTCCTTCCAAAATATATGGAAATTAGAAAAACCTTTTGAAATTGAATATAGAAATTTTTCATTATTTTTTTGGTAGTACTGTTAATTTGTTACACTTTTGCTATTATTTACGTAATTGAAGTATTTGATTCATGGATGATGATTCATGCTAGTACCATTATTTTGCAGTTTATTTTTATTCGCCTTGTGATTGATTTATGTAAAAAATTTGTAAGAATTCAAGAGTAGCATAGGCCGAGTTTTTTTTTTTTTTTGTCTGAACTACAACTTCGCCACACAATTTTAATCATTATGGAAAATTTATCATTCATTACCTCACTATTTCGTTGTCTCCTTGATATATAATTCATCTCGTACAGATGCTTCCTGTGGCTTGGACAAACGAGATGGAAGGGAAGTTGCCAAAGAAAGCATTTTTAAGGGATCGGTACGGAAACATATGGCAAGTGGAACTTAGTACTGATCAGGATAAAACTTATTTCCATCAGGGGTGGCCGGCATTCATTAAACAGAATGACTTGGAAAAGGGAGACTTTATCATTTTTATGTTTGATGGAATTTTGGTTTTTGATGTGAGACTACTTGGTATTGATTCATGTGACAAAAGAGGAGTTGGAGGTCTTAAATATAAATTAGAGGAAGTGGATGAACAAGAAGTACCGGTAGATGATAACAAGGGTGCAAGTAATAATGTTGATGGAAAAGCAAACGAAACTGATCCGGCTTTCAATGCTCGCAATGGTTCAGAAGATGTCAGAGGTACTATTTCGTCATACTGTTCAGTTTGGGTACTATATTTCGTACAAAAAGAACTACGATTATTGAAGAATATATGAAGTTTTTTATTTTTATTTTTAATGTCATCATTACTTTTGGTAATTACATTTGTAGGTGGGAACAGTGCAAAGAAATCACATCATTCTTGGAAGACAAACAGACTAGTCGATCCCTTTGGCTATGAACTTTTCAAATTCCGAAAAGTTGCTCGACCTCGGGATCCACATTTCGTTGCGGTAATAAAAAGCAGGAGGACATATAGAATGGTACGTATGTTGATTTTGGACTTTAAAACCTTTTACATTTATAATTCAACTCATGTCAGAGACCCTTCTTTGGGTGTAAAGTTCATTTTAATGTTATCACCTAAAGTGAAAGTATCTCTTCCCACTAATTTATGGATTTGAGAAATGAAATGGCAAAGCATATATAGGTTTTAGATGTAAATATTTGTTAAAGAAGAAACATAGTAAGAGCTTGGTATGAAAGCTTCTAGTTAATTAATTTATACTCGTGACATAATCTTCTTATGCAAAATGTTTTGTACTTATACAAACAAATTCTTTGCATTGTTTTCAGATTGTGCCACAGGAAATCATCAATGCCTACCGTCTTGAACTTCCAACAGAGACCATCTTACGTGACCCTCGAGGAAGGGAGTGGAATACAAATCTTAGCATATGGATAGATGGTCGTCAATGTTACCGCACTGGATGGAGGGAACTTTGCCTAGCAAATCTTATTGAACCGTACGAACCATTCATTTGTGAATTTGTGAAGTGTGAAGAAAGAGGTCTATACATACAAGTGCACATGATTCCGGATCATGCAAAGGAATAGGAAGTAGCAATGTAGTCAGTAATGCTTCAAGATTAATTATTGATTTAGATAATTAATCTTTGACTAATTTCCGGATATTCGTACTTACTTTATGTCTGAATTTGAGTCTCTTTTGTGGTTGACTCATAAACTTTTTAATTAATTTGCTTATGCAGTTACTTTGTGCCCATCCTTCCAACTTATATAATAATGCAAATAATTAGAAGAGAAGCCAATCTATTACAATGCGAAACCCACATGATCTAAACACCTTTTTTTATATAAAAAAAATAATTTTATAAATTATAAAGAAAAAAATATGGCAGTGAATATACTAAATCTTATATGAAGTACAATTTTAAGCTTTAAGAAAATTGCATCCTTATTCAATCTACATGATCGACGAACTCGAACTTTTCATTTAGTCTTGCTCTTCTTCGAGCGATTATGATATGTCGGAGCAAAAACTTCACTGTAGAAAGAATCTCGTTCCAATTCCCGTTGCGTGTCAAATTCTCCATCTTCTGAGTCATTAAAAGCATGTTGTTCTTCTCCCTCCGAATGGATTTGTTCAATCGAAAGAATTGTATTGGAAGACTCTGTACTTTTTCCTACCTCCGTATCATCATTTGAGTATTGTTTTTGATTATCCTGGGCTGAAATAGGAAGTAGAACTTGTAGAAGCGGGACTTCTTGTTGGGGGAGCATGATCTAAACACCTTACTGCAGAAAAAACTCATTAAAAACGCTGGTTATTAACGACCATAGAAATTGTCTACCCTCATCGTTGCACCACTTTACAAATAAGTTTATCTATGAGGATGATGATTAACGATTAGTAGTACCTTACCTACCTACTTTCAAAAAAAAAAAAAAAAAAGGTAGTACCTTACCTACCTTACTAATGAAACTCACATCAATGACGCTCGCAGCAGGCATGGCGATCTATTATCTTTTCTTAACATATGGAAAAGATTGCTTATCCAAAAGCAAAAGACTCACTGGAAAGTTGGGGAGTTATGCTTGAGAGGTGTAAACTTGTGATTGCCCCAAGGATGCCTCACAAGCTAGTCTATCAATCAAACTATTGGGTTCCTCGTAAATATGAGTCAACTTGGAATTCAAGCTCTCAATGATGCATTGGATTTCGTTCAACTCAAAAAAAAAAATCTCCGAGGAAAAGGACCTCCATTGTTAATGACACCTTCTATCAGCTTGTTGTGCATCTGTATTTTCATATTAGAAAGACCAAGGAAGACACATCCGAAAATACCAAGAAAGCCGGATTCTCCATATATAAGAACCGGCCTTGCTCCCCTCAAATCAAAAAACCATACCCATAATCTAAACTTTGCCCTAAAGAAAAGCCACCTGTATTTAAAATAAATACATTATGATCAGGAGATCTCCAACTTACAAGCTTAAAGGTCCAAGACTTGACTCTAAATTGTAAAGCTCGGAAAACTGATTCCAAAAAAGGGTTTTCAGCGGTAGAAGAGACTTTAATATCATTTACTATATACATATCTTCATTGTACTGCATAATTGCCTTAAGCAACTTATTTAAACAAATTCAGAGTCCATCAAATACGATACGGCTCCTCACCTTCCATAGCTCCCATAATGTAAAGATTGGGGTAGTCTTTATTATAGTTTTTAAAGCAGTTGCGAAACTTACCTCGGACCATCATTCCTTAAGAAAAGGCCGTAAATCATGGGACAAAGGTATCACCATATTGCATAAAATACCAACTTCCCTCCATAAATCTTGTACCTTTGGACATCCAAAGACGAATTTGCAAAAATTGTGGAGCTTGTGGAGTCGGACAAGCTTATTCAAAAATTTGCAACATATGAAATCTTGGGGAAGGCGGCCGCGTGCTACTTCAGAAGCTGACTTGATAGAGAAAATACCCGCAGGAGAAGATTGCCAAATAAGAAAATCTGCGCCATCTGAAAAATACAATTTCATGTCTGCTAAAGAAGCAATTACATCTTAGGAGAGCCGCGGGGTGAATTCTTCAAAAAACGGAAATTTGTTAGCGGAAAAAGCCTTAATACTCATATCAGGATATGGTGGAGACTCGATTGGAATGTCCCAGATGACTCCAAAGTGTGACCAATTGTCAAGCCATAAATTTCTTTCTCCATTGCGGATCAGCACTTTAGATTTCAAGGTGGCATAAGGATCAATCTTCTTGACTCGACTCCATGAAGTTTTTCTCTTTGTTGAGTCCGAAAGTATAATACTTCTATTGTATTACAAGATAAAACCATTTAATGGATTGTTTTTCTTTTTAGAACAAACAAGAATTTAAAAGCATATATCAAAGCATTTTTAGGTTTTTTTTTCTTAAAAAATCTTTTGCTTATTATAAATCTTTGGGGTTTTATTTTGTTTGGATTTGTGTCTTAACTTTAATCTCAAATGTTTTATATGGGCATTCACTTACAAGCTTTTTGTATGATTACCATTTAGAAAAATAGGAAAGTCTAATATGTTCATGCAAAGTTCTTGGCTAAATAATATTTTTTACTTAAGATTTACAAACATTGTTATAAATTAATAATTTTTCTTGGTCCCTATTCGGTTTAAGTACAAAAAACAAGATGAAGAAGAAACATAATTAATTAATAATATAATAATTTTCTAAGAATCTCGTATATAAATATAGGTCCCCACAATCCTATAAATGAATTATTGTGTAAAATAAAAAATTATATTTTGAGATATTAACTTCAATTTTAACTTTATTATTTTTTATATTTGCGATTATCATCTTTCGCAAGGCTTTGGATCTCCTTGCTGTGATTTCAATTTATAGATCAAAATTTAGCTCTCCGGATAGATTGCTTCTAGTCATAAACCAGTAACCAAATCACGAAGAATAACAATAGAACGATTTGTGATTTGAGTGAGTGAATTTGAGAAAAAAAAAACAAAACTAAAAAGAACAAAAAACAAAACACAATAACCAGACTTCAAAGATTTTTAAAGCCATCCTCGGCAGCGGCGCCAATTTTGGTGGGGCTGTCGTTGAACCACTTCCCAAAAGAAATATTTATAAAACTACTTAAAACTATTAGCTGGTTGTAACCAGGGTCGTTCCACATAGACGTCAGTCAACTTCTCAAAATCTGATTAAAGTGCAGAAAGGAAAGAAAATGAGTTGAACAAATTGTCACTTGTGAGAGTGAGAATAGTCACTTGACAGAGTGAAGAGGCAGAAGGGTCAATCACCTTCCTATCTTTATGATCCAATTTTGATTCAATAATTCCTGTAGTGTATGATTAGTTCTGCAGTAGCTCAACTAGCAGCAGTAGCAAGTAGCAGCATCAGCAACATGCTTCCTTCCATCATTGTGTTTCAGCCCTCAATTCTATCCAAATCTGTCCGCCTTTTCCTTCCTTGTTTCTTGTGATCACAGGCAATCCATGAATTCAGCAGCAGCAGTCACAGCAGGTAAGTAGCAGGTTGCAGTTGTTGTTTTTCACATATTCTCCCTTTTTCTCTTCTTCAACTTGCAGCAGTTCTAACTTGTGGTGATGGCAAAGCAATTCCTTCCTTTGGTACCAAGAATTCAGTCTTGGTTCTTCGTGATTGACAGTAGCAACAGCAACTTCGCAGTAGAGCAGCTACCATTTCTTCTTCCTTTATTGAGGTAGCTACTGCAGAGTCTTCCACTTGAATCCATCTGGTATCAATCTTCCTTCCACAACAAGGATTTGTCCACTTGCTTAAGCTCTGATCAATCTTCCCGCAGCTCAAATTCTAGGAGCTTCCATTCCAGTCCATTCTGATGCTCTTTTGTACCATTTGGCCCTCATTTATGTTAATTTTCCACATTGGCCCCTTGATTACTTTGAAATACAAAATCAACCCAAAGGAATCTAATTCTAATTAATTGACACCTAATACTAAGTAAATATGAGTAGAAAATGCCTACTAAAAGTGTATATATTTTTTACTGTCATCAATTGCTTCGTGCTAAACAACTAATGTTTGTTGTTGTTTGAACCTTGGGCTGTTACCCCTTGTCACCGGATAAGCTTAGACGTTTTGAGTTAAGTTTATCCTTTCGGGATTTCCCTAACATGCAAGAACAATTGGTTAAGTGGATAATTCATCTAAAAGGATAATGAAAACTCTAAATTTACGCACACAAATATCATTCAAGAGCTAAATCAAAACATACTCATATAAAATATATGGATTAGACCCTAGAAAAAGAGTTTATATACACATGACAGGATGCTTAAACACAAAACAATCAAAGTATAGAAGCTTCGCCATGTTTACAATTGAAAAGATAGAAAACATGGGAAGAACAAAGTCAGGGAGTGTGGTGAGTGTTGTTTCTAACCTAACTGAATCTATGCTAACTCTAGCTTTTTCCTTCCTAATTCTCGTTTCCTTCTTCTGCTTCAACTGCTGGTTTATATAGAGGTTGGGGGGAGTTATCTTGCTTAGCAAAGTTGGTCTACTCTTTATTCGATGGGTTTAAGCAGAAGAGAGGAGACCCATACTTCTTCACTTTCCCACCTTACCTCTAATCACCTTTAGGGTTGATGTTGCTTGAAGGATCGACTGAATTCGGTCATCAGCAGCTCCAATTCCCCCCAGGATTCATCAGCCTCCACGAATTGCAGCACCAGTCCAATCATGTCTTTTTCAATTGCGCCCAAAACTTAATCTGGCACATTTTACCCACCTTTTTATGAATTTTGCATTTCGGTCCATGGATCACAAAAAGTCACCAAATTAATTTGTTAACATAAAATACTATCCTAATTGACTTACAACTTAAGTATAAAGAGGAAAATTATGTGTCTAAAATATTTCATTGATCGCCACTCATCAATCTCCCTCTTCTCGCTAGTCTGATGTTTCCTTGTTTAATTTTGTTACTAGTGTGATTGTCTTCTACACAAAGAAAAAAAAAGAAAAAAGGAAAAATAAAAAGAGACAACAAAACTGAGTCTCTAGTTCATGCCATCAGCAACCCGCCATCACCATCAT